ACAGCACAAGGACATGGGAGAAGAAAGCTGTTCACTTCAGCCAGGAAGCAAAGGGTAACACGAGTCAGTGGGAAGAGCTAGGCATCAGACACATGTGCCCTGTGACCCACTGCCTCTGAGTATACCCTCCCTTCCACAGTGTCTCCACTTGCTGACAGTCACTCACAGTTTGGCTCCAGCACACTGGACTAAGTCACTGATTAGGTCAGAGCTCTCAGGACCCGACCCAGTCCATCACAGACAAACCCAGATGCATACTCTCCTGTCTAGGAATCTCTCAGTCGAGGTAAGCTGACACATCAGCTATCACAGCAAAGTCAAGTGGTACACACCTGTAATTCCACTATTCAAGAGGTTGAGGCAGGAGGATGATTAATTCAAGTAAGACCAGTTTATACAACATATAAGCTATGACTGACTACTATTACAACCAGCTTTGCAACTATCCAAACCCTCAACATGTCATTTCTGCTTAATTGCATCTCCTGAGTTGATGGAATATGTAACTTCATTGTAGTTTTGAACTACATTTTCTTAATGACGGAGGATAATGACCAATTTTTTTTTTTCTGGCCATTTGTAAACAAATCCTGTACCAATGACCTGTAAATATTTTCTCCCTTTGTGAAAAAATTATTTTTAAAATTGCCATTAGCTACTTCTCTCCCTCCTCCTCAACCCCCTCTCCCTCATCCTTTCTCTTTCTCCTCTTGCATCGCCTTCTGTGAACTGGTAACACATATGTTACCATAATCCTTATCATCGTCTAAGATGACAAAAATTTTCTAAAATTGCACAACTATAAATATATAAAAACCCACTGAATTGCCAGTATGGTGGTGCATGCCTTTAATCCCAGTATTCGGGGAAGCAGAGGCAGGAAGATCTCTTTGAGTTCGAGGCCAGCCTGGTCTACTGATCCAGTACCACCTGCAAAGCTACAGAGAAACCTTATCTTAAAACAAAAACAAAACAACAAGCCTCACACATTGCCAGGTGGTGGTGGCGCACACCTTTAGTCCTAGCACTCAGGAGGCAGAGACAGGCAGATTTCTGTGAGTTCAAGGCTAGCATGGTCTATAGAGCCAGTTCCAGAGCAGGCTCCAAAGCTACAGAGAAACCCTGCCTTCAGACTCTGTTTGTGCCTTCAACACTCATGGTTTTCTACTCCTCTAAGGAAAGCATGCTTATTCCTGTCACAGATATAGCACATACAGAAGGAGCCCTGAGCCTGCTGACATGTTAGAAAATCTCATATGGACTTCACGTCCCACACCACAAACCCCTCAAAGTCTGCCTGGCTGCATACAACAAGACAGATTCTGGTGTTCTCCCAATCTTCATGGTATAAAGGTAAATACTCCTAACATGGGGTTGGAGGCAGTCCAGTTTTGTTTGAGGCTGTATAGCAGGGAAGCTGATGATGATATGTTAACACTGACCATTTGAAAAGCCTCTAAAAAATTTAGTGTGTGTGTACCACAGCATGCTCAGAGGGCAGCTTGCAGGAGTCAGTCTCTCCTTCCACTATGACCTCCTTTCTCAGGGTTCAAACTCTGGAGCAAACACCTTTACCCACTGAGCCAACTGTGGTGGCATGAGTGGGCCCAGAGGCTCATGTGTTCAAATACCTGATCTGAGTTGTTAGAACTGTTTGGAAAAGACTAAATGCTGTGCCACAGGATGGGTTTGGGGTTTCCAAAGCCTTCCATCATCCTCAGTGTACTCTCTGCTTCCTGTTTGTTGATGAGGATCTGAGCTCTCAACTGCTGTCCTCACACCATGCTTGCCTACCTGCTGCCATTCCCTCTGCCATGAAGATGATGGAATCCTGTCCCTCTGGAACTTTAAGCCCCCAACAAACCCTTCCTTTCATAAGTTGCCTTGGTGTTTTATCACAGCAATAGAAAAGTAGCTAATATAAGCACTGAATTGGTCACTAACTGTGTGAGTCATGTGCTAGGTAAGCTATTTTTAAGCAAAGAGTTGAAAATGAGACTAGGGCTGAAATGTAGCTCAATTGTAAGAACACTGACTTATATGCAAAGCTATGGATTCCATTCCCATAAATAACATGGTAATTAATGAACGATGGTGGCACACACGTTTAATCCCAGCACTTAGGAGGCAGAGGCAAGCAGATCTCTGAGTTCAAGGCTAGCTAAAGCTACACAGAGAAACCCTGTCTCAAAAAATAAACAAACAAATAAATACATTATCTCAATGGGCTAGAGAGAGAGAGCTCAATGGTTGGGAACACTGGCTGTTCTTCCAGAGGACCTGGGTCCAATTCCCAGCACCCAAATGGAAGCTCACAAGTTCCAAGGGATCCAACACCCTCATACTGGCAAACCATATACATGAAATAAAAATAAATCATTTTTTTAAAAAAGGCACTTTCTAAAACCTTGACAATGCAATCAGTACAATTCTCAGTTTATTTTGGGCTTTTGATGGGTCCATATCACTCACTGTAACAATCTCAGAGGATCCATCTGTCAGCTATAAAGAAGCCTAAGATATAAAGGTCTGTTTGGTTGATAGGAGATGTCATTCTGTAACTATGTTTCTCTTATTATGAATAAAGCCCTGTTGGCCAATAGGAAAGCAAGATAGGAAGGACTAGGAGACAAGGAGGATTCTGGGACATGAAGTAGGAAAGTCAAGATGTAGGGACTTGAGGGAGAAGTCCAGACCCTCTCTGCAGTAAGGTAAGACCACGTGGAAACACTTAGATTGACAGAAATGGGTTAATATTTAAGACAGAGCTAGCCATAGGAAACAAGTAACTGGCCAACAGAATTATATCTAATACAGCATCTCTGTGTGTTATTTGAGACCAATGCAGCTCTGGGACCAAGCTGAAGGGAAAACTGCTCATAACAAAATTGCACCCAACGTGGGACCTAATAACTTCCACTTAAACGATTTTAAAAACAAAACAGAAACAAACAAGTCTTCTTGGTAGCAACGTTTTTCTCGGTTGGGCTCTGTTTTGCTAGAGACAAGCAGAGATTTGCACGGCTCCTTTAAGAGAGATTTCCTGACTCAACATAAGTGGCAAACCCTGCTAACAACTGCAATGGCAGTGATGACATCTCCAAGCCGGCAGCATACTGCTGGATGGCAGCATAGACCAAGGCAGTGAGCACAGCTCTCAGTGCTGGCTGTAAGCAAACCCCAGCCATCTTGGAGAGATAGTGGCTAATACAGCTGTGGCTTTCATTTTAGCAATGTTGTTTAACAGATAAAAGACTCACGGCAAGAAAAAGATAAAGATTTACATTAAAGACAGATTCAGATAAAGAAAAACCTCTAAAGGTTTACAGAGTGTTTTAAAATATACGTAGGCTTAGAAGGAAAAAAAAAAAAAAACATGATAAAGATGATAGAGATATCATTCTGTAAATGTTTCTCTTATTAGTTAATGAATAAAGCCCTGTTGGCCAATAGGAAAGCAAAATAGGTGGGACTAGGAGACAAGGAGGATTCTCGAGATGTAGTAGAGGATATTCAAGATGTAGAGACTTGAGAGAGAAGAGGTCCAGACCCTATCTCTGGTAAGATAAGACCATGTGGAAACACTTGGATTGATAGAAATGGGTTAATATTAAAGACAAAGCTAACCAATAAGAAATGCTAGTAACTGGCCAACAGCATTATATCAAATACAGTGTCTCCTTGTGTTATTTGGGGCTGACCTGACTGTGGACCAGGCTGGCAGGAAAACTACTTGTAACACTTGCTTGTAAGTCACTCTGGGTAAACTCTGAGAATCTGATTCCCTTATGTAAATCATCTGAACAGTCCAAATACTCAGAGTATTGAAGCTGAAAGGTCACTTGAGGCCAGGAGTTCCAGAACAGCCTGAACAACTTTTTTTAAGGAGGGGCACTGGATGGTGGTGGCACAAAACTTTAATCCCAGCATTTGGGAGGCAGAGGCAGGTGGATCTCTGAGTTCAAGGCCAGCCTGGTCTACAGAGTGAGTTCCAGGACAACCAAGGCTACACAGAGAAAGTCTGTCTTAAAAAAAAAAAAGGACAGGGCAGGGCAGTAGGGGACACGCGATGGTTCAGGAGATCAATGTCAAGCCTAATGACCTAAGTTCAATCCCCAGGTGAAAGAAGAGGCCTGTCTCCTTGCAAGTTGACCTCTGACCTCCACACACATGTACCCCCCACACACAAAATAAATATATAAATAAGGGAATGCATTTATTCTGGCTATGTAAAGAAAATGGTCCCTTTACTTTGGTAGACAATTCATCAGTCTTACAAAACTAAAACTATGGACTCAGTAGAGCCCCAAGCCCTAAGGTTGCAGGGAAGGGGAGCCAAGACTTCTGGGACTCACAGGGAGTGACAGAGGAGGACACTCTACATCCTTTTCTGGCTTCTGTGTGCATGAACAAGTATATGACTTCATATCTTTGACACTCACACAAAAAGCCAGGCACAGCAGTGCCCTCCTGTAGAACTAGAGCTGGGGGATAGTGACACAAAGATGCCTGGAGCTTCAAACTATGAAGTTCCAGATCCAGTGAGGAACTCCTGCATCAGTAATAATAGTAAAAGGTGGAGAGTGATGGAGGAAGACCTCCAACATTCATTTCCGGCCTCCATACACATGTGTACAGACCAAAATCAACACATACATACAGTGCCTTCATGTATGCAGACACACACACATCAGTGGTTGTCAGGAGTTTAGAAAAGGAAAGGATGATTGGGGAGAACACAGAATTTTCCCCCTTGAGACAGGGTCTCATGTAGCTGAGGCTGGCCTTACATTCACTATATAAGCATTGAATTTCTGATCCTTTTGCCTCCACCTCCCAAGTGCTGTGATTGCAAGCTGCATCTCTAGCTCTATAAATGATTTTTAACAATTCACATTTAGTGAACCCTTCTTTGCAATACGATTGCAAGGCTACCCCTTAGCTGCTTCCTTTTGTCTGGGCCTGAGTTTGGCCAATCATTGATGTTTTCTACCATTGCAAACATTGATTACATGTGAAGTTCTAGGAGTGGAAGGAATATTGTGACTTTCTGCCCTTGAGCACACTATCACAGTGCCTGTGAGAGGCAGTGTACCTGGCACTGGAACTGAGCCCAGAGTTCTGAGTCACAGCACCTGTGAGAGGCAGGACCCCAGCACTGGAACAGAACCCAAGGGTCAGGGTTGGAAAGCTACAGACACTCACCAGGGGAAGCCAGGACAATGGAGCTTGTGTGCACTGTTTCCTGTCAAATACGAGAAATGGAAGCCTCCGGGGTTGAGGACCAAGGGGGTCAGATCGACCATGTGGCTGTAAGATAGGGAAGAAATAGGATGTTGGCACTGGGCCCATCCACAGCATCAGCACGCTTATGTGTGACACAGCTCCAAGGATCCCATCACAGTCCAAACGCTTGGAAATAAGCATAATCACCACCCAAACTGTCAAAATTAAGAGGCTGAGACAAAATAACCATCAGGGCTGGCATTCAAGATGTCCCCCAAATGCTTTTTGCTTCCTTCAAGCTGAGTAAAATCCCTTCCACCTCTTTGAAGTTGATGAAAGACCATTCCAGCTTAATTTCACTTCAGACCTTGAAATATCCAGTTTCTCCATCTACAGGAAACAAAGGAAATGTCAGGACAGAGTGGAAAAGACAGAAAAGCAGTCCTTTTACAGGAATCAATAACTGATTTCAAAAATAAATAGTTGATTTCAGGAATGCAGAGAAATGGTGGCCAGGAACTGAGGAAGACCTACCTCCAAGACAAGGGCTATGGGGAAGGGGATGGGTGCTGGAGGAGGGGACCTGAAGAGAACACAGGATAAAAAGGAGCCCAAAGCAGCAGATGGGGGTAGAGGAGAAATAACACCCAAGAAGTAGGAATGGGGAGATGTTTGGAAATTCTATAGTATTCCTCCTATTCTTGGAGACATCCCAAGTACACCTGGGTTGCTGGCTCATGGAGGACAGGAGGTGGGACTTTGTGTCATTCACCTCCACTGTGGCCCTCAGCCAGGGCAGCCCCCTCTTATCTGTTTGACCTGCTAGTTCATATGCAAAGCCCTTCTGTAGGGATCTGAGAACACTGGGCAGGACAGGAGGAGAGAAGTAACCCTTCTAGCACTAGAGTAGAGCATATTCCCACTGACCGGCTTCCCAGACATTGGAGGAAAGGGGCCAAAGACCCTGGGCATAGTGTAGACAGAGGGTGATGCAGCCACTACAGAGGCCATGGTGTTGACAGGTGGTGGTGGGGGTGGCGGTGGCAGCGGTGGTGGTAATGGGGCTGGTGGCAGGCACGGGGAGGTTGACCGGTCTCGAAGGAGGACAGTATCTGCTTTCTTTGGTTTTGGCTTCCTCCTCCTCTTCTTGGCACCTGTAGCAAACAGTGCAGTGAGTTCTGACAGCTTGGGCAGTGGGTCCCAACCTCAGTAACACAGGGTATCATGAGACCTCTCCAGCAAAGGAAAGCCTTTCCAGGCTTTATATAATACCTGGGACAACAACTAGGGCTACCACTGACAGTGGCCAGCAGGCATTATCTCACCAGCCACCAAGCACTTTAGAGAAAGGATCAAAAATCAATCTCTCTTTCCCTCTGCCTCTCCCCTCTTCTGCCCCCCTCCTTCCCTCCTTCAATGGGGTGTTACATATCCTAGGCTAGCCTGTAACAGCAGGTGAGAATCACCTTTAACTTGTGATCTTCCTGCCTCCAACCGCCAGGTTACTGGGATTTTTAGTACACAAACAGTTTATGTATTGTTTGGAATTAAACTCAGGACTTTGTGTGTTCTAGGCAAGCATTCTACCAACAGAGCCACATATCAGCCCTACTTTTGCCTCTTACAGGCAGAGCCAGGTGCCCTATCTGCACAAGAGCAGGCAGAATCCATGCCAAGATGTCTAACTTTAAGGGTATAATTTTGAAGGGAGTAGTGGGGTGAACCAGGCCTTGTAGGCTAACCTGTGGCCTCCCAGGCAGGAACTGTGGAAGACTGAGTCTGCCAACACCAGCTAGGATATCCAGGCCCCAGACAGTAAGCCGCTAGACTACATCCAGCCTCAGAGACATGGGGATGGAAAAGGGTATTGCTTTTAAAAGAATACCCATAGTGAGGTCTTGTAAAGGCAGATTCAAGTAAAGTGATACCCTGGCAGGACCCTGCGCCAGGCCCTACTCCACTTTCAGGTCTTATGGACTGAACTGAATGAGTTTGAAGAGTACAGTGAGTGTTAAAGCATACCTCATGTAGCCCATCAGAAGGGTTCATTATCTGGATGTGGTGATGTATGTCTGAAGCCACAGAATTCAGGAGATAGAGGCAGGGGGATCAAGAGTTCAAAGCTAATCTGAGCTATTTATCAAGTTAAAGGTCAGCCAGGGATATGAGGCCCTGTCAAACAATAAGGGTTGACAAGATGGCTCAGCAAGTAAAGAAGCTTGCCACCAATGTGTGTGTGCACTTGCACCCACATGCAAGCGCCCCCCCCCACACACACAAAATAAATGTAATAGAAGAGCTGGAGAGGTGACTCAGTGGTTAGCACTTATTGCTCCTGCAGAAGACCTGTGTTCAGATCCCAGCACCCATGTCAGGTTGGCCAGGTGTAGGGAATCCAATGCTCTCTTCTGGCTTCCATAAGTATATAAGTACATGGGATACATGCACACGACACACACACACACACACACACACACACACACACACACACACAGAGAGAGAGAGAGAGAGAGAGAGAGAGGCACAAGCGCATGCACACACATGTATACATTAAATAAAATGCTTTAAAATTTTTTTTAGCCAGGCAGGGGTGGCACACTCCTTTAATCCCACCACTCAGTCAACTGAAGCACACAGCAGATCTCTGTGAATTTGAGGACAACCAGAGTGAGTTCCAGGATCACCAGGGCTATTACAGAAAACCCCTATCTTGAAAAACCAAAGAAAAAAAATTTTTAAAATAAATATTAAGAGAAAAATAATAAAAGTGTGATGGGGCTAAGAACTGACTCTGTTGTAAAGTACCTACATCACAAGCATAAAGCTCTGAACTCAAAGCCAGGCAGTGGTGGTGCACACCTAGCTCTTGGGAGGAAGAGGCAGGTGGATCTCTGAGTCTACACAGTAAGTTCTAGGACAGCCAGCAATACACAGAGAAACCCTGTCTCAAAAAAAGATGGAAAAAAAAAAAAGATCTGAGTTCAGATCCCCATCCTACAGAAAATGAAGGGCAAGCTAGCACACATCTGTAATCCCAGCACTCTGGGGATACATACAGATAGAGAGCTGATGCTCACTGCCCAGCCAGGGTACCCAAATCAATGAGTTACAGACCTTGTGTCAAAATATAAAGGTGGAAAATGAGAGCAGAGAGCCCATGGTGTCCTGGTGCATGCCTTTAGCCTCAGGCAGGCTGATCTCTGTGAATTTGAGGCCAGCCTGGTCTACACAGTGAGTTAGTTCCAGGCTGGCCAATATTACATAGTGCAACCCTGTCTAAACACACACACACACACACACACACACACACACACACACACACACACACACGGGGCCAGCAAGATGGCTTACTGGGTAAGAGCACTTGCTATGTAAGCCTGACAACCTGAATTGGATACCCAGATACTACAATGGGAGAACTGACTCTTGCAAGTTATCCTCTGACCTCCATGTGCGTGCCTTACACCCACACTTGTGTATACACACAATAATAACTGTATTTTGTTTTAGAACTAGGAATGATGGTGTGTGCCTTTAATCCCAGCACTCTTTGAAAAGAGAGACAACCAGATCTCTGCTATTATGAGGCCAGCTTTCCTTCAGAATGAGACCCCATCTCAAATAATATTTTTTTTTTTCGACACAAGGTTTCTCTGTAGCTTTGGAACCTGTCCTGGAACTCCCTCTGTAGACCAGGCTGGCCTCAAACTCATAGAGATCTGCCTGCCTCTTGCCTCTGCCTTCCCAGTGCTGGGATTAAAGTTGTGCACCACCAACATCTGGCTAAATTGTTTTAATTAAAACACATCCTAAGGCCGGAATTAAAGGCGTCTGCCACCATATCCCCACTCCCTCTATAGTCAGCTCTAAATGAGCTAATCTTGCTAGAAGGTATACCTTCCTTTCTCCCTTTCTGTACCAGGCCCTCCTTCCTCCTCTTCATTAAACCAAATCCAAGAAGGTTAAGTCCAACCTACACACCTCACTTGCACCTAGGATGTCATCTGAGCCTGACATACTTGGCAATGTTGATGAGAATTGAAATGCGAGGGGGAGCAGCTGCCTGGGCTCAGATTCCCAAGGGTTCACAACTTCATTAGTTGAGCCTCACCCTGGGAATACAGGTGTACACGGTGGATGCGCCTCTTCAGCTGCTCCAGGCGCTGATGCATCTCCAGGGCACCCATACTGTTGCACTGATTCAGTTCCCCCTGGACAGCGCAGACAAACTTTGCCTGCAATAATGATTGAGGAAAAGCGGGAAGCCAGAAAAGAGTCCCTTGGCTGCTCTATCCCCAGGCTGGGTGTCCTTGGCTTTGGAAAGACCCTTCCAGCTTGCCGAAGCTCCCCACACCCCTACACACACCCCGCTAGGTGACCTCCCCATCCATCCATCCCTCAGTCAAAGCCCACCCTCAAAGCTCAGCCTTAAGAAACAGCAAGTGGAAGTGGTGGCCTCCCGCTGCCCTCACCCAGAGGCAGGAGAGGAGTCCGCGCTGCTCGATCTCAGTCTGCTTGCCCTTGCGCACAACCCTCTCCGCCAGCGCTGGGTTACGATCCAAAGTGCGGAAGAGACGGCGCAGTGCACGCTCTGTGTAGGTCGCTGCTTGCCTCTCGAAGTCGTCCTCGGAGATGAGCTGGCAGAAGGTCACACTCTGGGGGAATTCGTTGTCGTACTCGTCCAGGACTTCCATCGAGAGGGACTGCTGGTGGTGGGCCGGTGCTGCATGGGGACGGAGCGGCAGTCAGGGCAGGGCTCTTAGGAATGAAGTCCAGAAAGGTGACAGGAGCCCATTGGGACTGCAGAACACACCCACTCTTTCCCTACAGCCGCTGTGCAGACTCCAGATCCCCAGACTACCCGCCCCTCTCCCGGTCTAGCCTAGAAAGCCAAGGGGCGGGGCCAGCGCCAGTACACGTGACAATGCCCACCTCTCTGGGCATGCGCGCTGGTGTACTCCCGCTCCTCAATCTTCTTGACCACTGAGGCACCCAGATAGCTTGGGGATTTTGATATTCTGAGCTATGGTCCTGTCTAAAGCATCCAGCCCTCTCCCAGTTTCTCATTTCCTCCTCACCCTGCCTTATCAGTCAGACCTGGTAATTGAATCTAGCTTCCAGTTTACCAAGGTGATATCCAAAAGGATTTCCTTCTGCCCCCAAAGCGCTTTAGTTTGGTTTTTGCACCATCTCAGTTTCCTGTCCTACTAGGCTGCATTCCACACAACCCTCTCCAGGTCATGTCCTGACCACTTCTTTGTTTGTCATTTGTCGTTTTCTGAGACAAGGTGTAGTTCTGGCTGTACTGGAAGCCACTGTAGACCAGGCTGACCACTGAACAGCGCGGACAAACTTCACCTGCAATAACAATTGAGGAAAGGCAGGAAGCCAGAAGAAAGTAGCTTGCCTGCTCTATCCCCAGGCTTAGAATCCTTAGCTTCGGCCTCTGCTTATCTCTGACTCTGGAATGTTGGGATTAAAGGTGTATGACAGCACACCTGGACCCATGACCACTTCTTGGCTCTTTGTCTTGATGCCCTTCTGTCCTTTCCTTCTTTCCCCTCTGCTACATTTCTGAAGGTTGTCTTCACCTGCCTCTTGACAGCCAACCTAAATCCTCCGAGGCCCAGCCCTTCCTTGCGTTCCAGGCCCACACCCAAGTCATGTACAAAGTAAGGATTCCTGGGCATCTCAGAAGGATCTGCTGCGTCAAGAGCTACTGGCCCACATCTACCCTAGCCACACCAAGGAGGGTGGATGCCAGCTGCTTCTTCACCATCAAAGCCTTCCATCAGGTCTGAACCCCTTATGTGTATCAAAGCAGTTCCCTATGGGTACCAGGACATGAACAGCTACAGTAGGGTTGTGGCTGATTTTCTCAAGCCAAGGGGTGAAGGCTACTTCCAAAGACTGATCAGGAAGCCTGGGCTTCCTTTCAAGGAGACAGGACTGACCAACTAGCACTAGGTCTTTTTTTAGGGGGTGGGGTGAGAACATTGAAACAGTGTCCCATCATGTAACTCTGGCTGTCCAAAAATTTGCCTTGTCCTCAAATTCACAAAGATCCACCTACCCGTGCCTTCCCAATGCTGGGTTTGAAAGCATGGGCCTCCATACCCAGCTTCTAGCTGGCTCTTGTTGGTAAAGATAACCCTGCAAGAATACCACAGGAAAAGCTTCCTTAGAAGTTCTTCTAGCCCTGCCTGGAAAGCAGACATGCCAGACACCTCAATGTCCCTCCTGTTCAAGACATACCCTCCTGTAAAAGAGCAAGCAGGCATGGCTGGAAAGTCTCCTCTGCAGGGTTCCTATTCCGAGTCCATCCATCCATCCATCCCAGGCAGTATACTCCTGCTGAACCCCAAGACTAAGGTCTTGCCTTTTCTTGCCTCCTCCCAAACACCACCCAGAATATCCTCTCTTCATCTTGGTTACCTTCAGGCATTCAGGATGGCTGAGTCCTGTTCTTCCTGGTGTAGTCAAGGCTGAGCAAGGTACATAAACCTTTTCCATACAAAGAGGTGAATATCTGTTTCTTTCCACAAGTTCCTGGAGTCCCTAATTTTGTTTTGGTTCTTGAGACAGCATTATACCATAGACCAGGCCAGCCTCAAATCTGAGGCACTCTCCTGCCTCAGCCTCCAAGTATGAGCCTAGTGTTGACACACCGGTCTTAACTGGGGGGGGGGGGGGGAGAGCTTGAAAGCAGAGCCTTTTCCAAATCTGGGGTCTCATCTGTGTACTGGTTCCAGCCTTGGAATGGTTCCCAGTATCCACATGATTCTCTTAGATGGGTTGTCTCATCCAGCTCTGCACCCATGAATAACAAATCCAAGCACTTACCTGGGGGCAGACACATCAGGCTTCTCATCTGGGAAGTGAAGGGCCCAACAGATGCCCTTTCATCATTGCACTGCCCCCAGTGGCCCACAGTAGTGCAACAGGAAAAGAGTGTCCAGCAAGCCTGTTCTCTCTTGGGGGGAGGGAGGAATCTTAGACATAGAATGAATGACCAGCTGGGCAGAGCCTTTGTCTGGGCCAAGGGTGCCCTCTGATCCCAGAGACACAGCCCTGGCTAGAATCTCAAGTTTCCATAGAGTACAGAGTAAATGAGCAGGGAGGAGGGGGAATTATGTGCTGCAGGCCTGAGGGGCCAGGCCTGGAAAGAGAGGAAAGGAGTTGTAGGTGAGAAGGTGGTCTACAAAGCTGGTCCCAGATGCTTTGACAATATCATTGCACTGCTTCTCAGAGCACAGTAGTGCAACCTAGTCAGAGCACCTGCAGCCAGCAGGCAATCCATCACCCTCATTGTGTACAAGGCTGGAAGTTCAACCACCATAGGTGGGTGGGACCTCTATCCAAGACTTGGAGCATAGAGGTGATTCCAGCTGGGATGCAGTCCTTGGGGCCTTATGAACTTCAGGGCATGCAAACTTTCCCCAACATGATTCCAATTCTGGTGAAAGACCCTCCCCTGAGAGAGTCTAAGGGCAAGTACCTGAGGGGGCTCACACACAAAGGAGAGGCCTGTGCTCAGCCGGGTGGGGTTGGGGTGGGGGTGGCAGTGGGGCTACCTTGTACTCTGTTTCAGCCTGGAGCTCTGTCTAGAGTAAAAGGGATGTTTCACTCCTAGCAGGTGAGGCCCTTGGAGTTATAGACCTGATCTGCATTCTATCCTTACAGATTCTTCTGCCAGGTGCAACAGAGCAAGAGCTTTCTTTCATGCCACCTGGGGTTCCCTGCCCTGGAAGGGACCCTGGCCTCACCACACGACACCCCACCACTACCACCACCACCACCACACACACACACACACACACACACACACACACACACACACACACACACACCTCAGACCTGATACTCACATAGACAGACATACCGTGTTCCCACAGTGAGGACAAAGTGAAGATTGGTGGGAGACGATCCTGGTTGTCGCGGTCCTGACCTACCCGGACAACCCCGGACTCGTGGCGTCCTCTCATCAGTGGGCTCCATCTTTAACCTCTGACAGTCCCAGGGGCCAAGCCCCAGGCCTTAAGCAAAGCACAGCGCCAGCCTCATTGGCTTGCGCCAACACCAAGCTTCGCCTACTGCACACCTATTGGCTGCTGCTAGAAAGATTTCAAAATAGCCTCCGGGCTCCGATTGGCCAGGCGCCCGAGTTTTGGCTCCGCCGTTTTAACAATGAGTCCTACACACTCTTTCTCATTCATAACTTACGAAAAAGAGCTCTGCCCTCCTTTTCCCAGCTTGCTTCTCTGTAAGTATTATAATGATCTTCGAGAGGGCGCGTGCATGCTGCCACACAGCTCACCAAATTAAGAAGGGTGCTCATATTCCAGGGAAGTGTCTGCGCCACTGGCTAAATAGAACAGTCACTCTGTCAAACTTTTAAGAGCATCGCCATAAGGAATCCTCCAGCTGGGCTGGGGAGGCTCTGGCATATGTAAGGGAAGGGAATGCCCTGATGTTGCTGAGATTGGAAACCACTTTGTGGATAAGAGTTCATTGAGAGACCTTTCTGGGCTGATTAAGTGACAAAGATACACATCGCCTAGTACACAGAAGCGGAAGGGCTCTCTACTCAGGTGTGTTCTGGGGAAGAGGGGAAAACATTATTTGGCAACTGGCATCTGTGCTTTCTCCTGTTTTACCCCAGTTACATGGCAGAGAGAAAATGTTTTCAAAACAGCTGGTTTTCAGTCTTCAGGAATGTATGTTGTCCACTTTATTTTAAATTTATGTGAGTGGGTGTTTTGCCTGCATGTCTGTGTACTCACTACATGCATGTCTGGTTTCAAGGAGGCCAGAAGGCGTTCAGTTCTCTGAAACTGGAATTATAAACAGTTGTGAACCACCACATGGATGCTGGAAATGGAACCCAGGTCCTCTGGAAGAGCAGCCAATGCTCCTAACTGGTGGGCTATAATCCCTTCTTTAGAAAAAAAAAAAATGCTGTTGGTTTTGGAGACAAGGTCCATCCTGTACCACTGGCTGGCTGGGGACTCACTGAGTGACTGGGCTAGCTTTGTGCTTATGGTGATCCTCCTGGGCCACCATACTGTGCCTCTCCACACTGATGCAAACAAAATACCCAGAAATCTCAGCATTTGGGGCGTGGAAAAAAGAGAATCAGAAGTTCAAAACCAACACCAGCCCAAGCTACATGCTGGTGAGGCATGCTGGAGAGATAGCTCAGTGGTTAAGAGGGCTGGCTGGCTGCTATCCCAGAGGACCCAGGTTCCATTCCAACACCCACAAACCCTCTCACTGCCATCTAACTCCAGTTCCAGGGGTTCTGACACCTTCTGGTTTCGGCAGACAAAACACCCACATACATAAAATGTTTTGTGGCTGCTACTTTTGCTAGGCTTGGTCATGTTCTGAATTTTGTTTGTTTGGTTTTTTGGTTTTTGTTTTTTCGAGATAGGGTTTCTCTGTGGCTTTGAAGCCTGTCCTGGAACTCAATCTGTAGACCAGGCTGGCCTGGAACTCACAGAGATCTGCCTGCCTCTGCCTCTGAAGTGCTGGGACTAAAGGCGTATACCAACAACACCCGGCTGTATGGAATGTTTCTGCCCCAAAAGCATATTGGATTACCCAGTATTCCTACCTGCTATGCATTTGAGTTCTTCCCCTAATCAGCATTCCAATGCCTCACTGTTCCCCCTTCAATGTACAGGATATAGCAATGCTGGAGTGCTCCACCCCAATCTTGGCTCTTCTCAGAAAAAAAAAAAAAAAAAGAAAGAAAGAAAGAGAAACAAAAAT